CCCCAGAAGAGTGGCAGCTGCTGGACTGTGATCAGAGAACCTTGTATTGGGATGTGATGCTGGAGAACTTTAGAAACCTCACCGCAGTGGGTAAGGACAGTGGGTAGTGACTAACTCTTCACTGTAACTGAGCATGTACTCATAGTGCCCTTCCTGTGGGACGTGTGGACATTCTAAAGCATTACAGAGTTTGGCCCTGAATGTCAGTGGTCACAGACTCTTGATTCCCTTTGAGATGAAGCATAAACAGAGAATGTGTGTTTATGCTTCCACCTTCCAAATGGCGGAGAAAGGTCTTTTTTGTTCTAAAGTCTGTCATCCTTTCCAGGCTCTGAGATTCAAGGAGGCAGACCTGAATTGTGAGGTAGTTGTTTGTGTCTAGCACTTTGTCTCCAGTTCTGTGTTGTTTCCCACAAACAGGGGGTCAAGTTACCAAAACAAAAGTGATCTTCAAGGAGGAGCAAGGACAGGAGTCATGGATGGTGGAGGGGGAGAACCCATGTTGGCGCTATCCAGGTGAGTGAGAGAAAGCTAGGCAGATGGGAGTCTTTGGAATTGAGATTCCAGTTGGTCAGTGAGGGACAGGTACCTTTGAAGCACCTCTTAAAAGCCACACATCTTTGGAAGTGACTGGGTATGCTTGACCTACCATTCATTGTCAGATCCGCAAATGACACCTTCACTCACTCTGCCCAGCTGTTTTTTGTCTTTGCTCAGCTCTTGTATGGAGGGATGTCCCTTTCCTCTTTGCCCAGGCTCCCTATGCTTCCTGTTTTATGTAGGTCCTTGCTTTGTTCTCTTAATTCCCCAAGTCCTCATTCTTCTTTTTTCCTCATCATGATCATAGATTGGGGTGCCGGGGTGGCTTAGTCAGTTAACCAACCGATTCTTGATCTCAGGTCAGGTCTTGATCTCAGGGTCGTGAGTTCAAGCCTCGCATTGGGCTCCACACTGGGCATGGAGCCTACTTTGTAAAACAAAACAAAAACTAAAAAATGATCCCAGATCTTTTTTTATACATCTAATTCTTTTTTTTTAGTTTTTTGTTTTTTTGTAACGTTTATTCTTTTTTTTTTTAATTTTTTTTAACGTTTATTTATTTTTGAGACAGAGAGAGACAGAGCATGAATGGGGGAGGGTCAGAGAGAGGGAGACACAGAATCCAAAACAGGCTCCAGGCTCTGAGCTGTCAGCACAGAGCCTGACACGCGTCTCGACTGCACGGACCGCGAGAT